TACAAATATGACCCATCTGGTTCTCCGTGTTGTGATGCGGTGAGACACATGTAACCTTGTATATGTTGAGGCCTACTGATGCAGAGGCTGCTGCTACACTAGTTGTCTTCATCTGCACTTGTTCATGTGTATGGGATAGTAGAGCCAGGTCATTTGTGAAGTTCATGCCGTCTAATTGATTCCAAACTGTGCACTGAGTTCCTTGCTTCATCTCAGACATGGAGGTTTTAATAATCGAGCGATCAGAGTAGTGTTAGCGTTTATTCACAATGAATGTTTGTTAAGTACATGTTGTTTGAGACGAAATATGATGGTTGATGATTAAGTAGATCTGGTCATAAATGCAGTATCATATCGAATAGTTCATACAATGGTCATATCATCATCATAGTTAATGAGAATATAATTGTTAAAAATTAATTGTATTATACACAAAGTTATTTATCTATTTCATTTCAATTATTCTTCTTCTTGTCTAATTTCTTTACATTACCATAGATAACGTGGTTGCAGTCCAGTCTCCAGACTCCATAAAACCAAGTAAGTCCGTGAAGCAATTACATACAACAAATTACATATAGATTAGCACGTACGTTGATTTCAGATACTTTAATTGTGCAACACCTAATTATGTTTGTGGCAAACAAATTGTTTATCTTCACTAACCAGACTTAGTATGCTGTTATGTCCTTTCTCTAAACATTACGTTTGAGATACTTTAGAAAGATATGTGTACGAGAATTTAGGATGACTTCATATTTGTTTTCTGCAGCACATTTCCATTGGTATTTCTTTAGTTATAGAATGATAGGTCACACTGTTTGGTCGTGTTCAACATGTATCATGAAAGATAAACGACGTATTTCTCCATAAATAATACATAGTCAGAAAAGAGTTGTTATAACAGTCGCAAATCAACAGGTCTGCTGATCCGATTTAGCAACAACACTAATGGCACACTTTTACTGTTGGATTTTGTTAACCGACGAACACTTCCCTTCGCAAACAGTGAGATTGTTTATTTGGTCGCCTTGCATTGTTCATCATCTCATCAGTTATTATAGTGGAACATATGTGCATGTCACATTCTTTAATTCTCAGCAATTTCAAATATTGTTGAGAGCATACTGAAAGTTCAAATGAGGGCTGGGATAAGGCAGTTAAAGACAGGTCACTTCGTCAATCATCTGGAGTTTTCGATGACTTCTGTGAAAATATAAGTGATTCATGTATCGTAAGAATTTACTGACTGAAGGTAGAGAGGAAGATAACTGTTATATGTAGAGCTTGGATTCTTACTATACTGCATACAACTTGAGCATTCAAACGCTGGTGAGAAGGAATTCTATTTCAAACAGTGTCAAGTATGGTACAAATCTATCAGGTATTTATGGCTTTTTAGTAGAACGAAATCATCATTATAGTCATGCAATCCGCGTACAGGTGGTCTAAGCATTTGTACAATGCGGAAGCTATATGTAGAGATTTTGGAATATTCTTCCAAAACATGATTGAATGGAAGATCCTCGGCTGGGCTTCTTTGAGCTTTGAGTTTTGGTATCTCGATATTTACAGGTAGTGCGATAGTTACCGAAGAGAATGAAATTCGCTATTTACCCACAATCATTTCACGGTATATCGATAAGAATTGATAAATTTCAGTTACTTTTGAAACAAAATGAACTGGACTACCGTCGTTTAACTGCATAGTACTGTGAATGAAATGGTTTGGTCACTTAGATTAGATCATTCTGTGATTTCAAATGAGTTGTGGATGTGGTGAAGGAATTGGAACCAAAATTGAGTTCTGCTACTCTGTCATGTGATATCGATCACTCACAAAGGCCAAATGATACTCGTGTCGATACTGTTAACGTTGAACTGGCAGTGTTATCGAGTGAAATGGAAAAAGTATTTTCGTCGAAAACCTGGTTCCCATCGTTGAAGAATACACTTGAATCGGGTAATGTGAATGTGAATAGCGCGTGGATAATTGGTGAGTGAATCACCAATGCATAACAATTTTCTAGTTGATATCCACACTTGATCAATATGTACGGTGTTCAGTTGAGATAACATAGCTTGCAGTTTTCATCATTAAGTAGTAAATATACTGTACTCCATTTCAGATATCGTTTCAGTGAGTGGTAAGTTCACAATAAATTCTGTAGTTTTGTGTATTGTAAAATCTGTTGAAGTCAGTGATACTGAGGAATATTGAACACAATAATCTGTCAATGTGGTGTAGGAATTTAGGAAGTGAATGATGTGTAATGATTTGTAAATGTGAGTTGTCGAATGATCTGACAGCCATTGGCCGTGGTGAGTTTTCAAATGTCTATTTATCATATAGAATAACCATGGAAGGCCAGGGTCAAGATGTACAAAATTTAAACGACATAATAGTGAAAGTATAATGGTTCTTCCTTGAGTATGATATAAATTTCTGATGTGTGGAATACAAGGTTATATATTTTCTGTCAGGATGTTGATAAACTGTGGTGTTTTCATGAACTGACGATTTCTTTTGTATTTGATGACTGTTTTAATTCGAATTCCGAATGCAATAAATTCCTTTGTGTTCATTTAGCACTTCTCGGTTAAATTGCGTTATTTCTGGGATTTATGGAATTCTGTTTCTGTGAAGTTTATATATCCATATTTAAAAACAGTTCATCTTCTTAACAAATTGTTCAATGTCCAAACGAGAATTGCAATGCTTTTAGTAGACCGACATCTTTTTCATTTAGCTAATAATTAATTTGCATCAATTTTTCATTTCATCTTTCCTGAACGTAATTCATTTGCAGTTCTCACTGATGAATATTGTTTGATCGTTTGTCAAAGTATAGATCATTGTCTTTATATTTCTCTTCTATCATTTAAGTGGTGAATTGCCTCACTCACTGCATAAACGTTATCACCGACTTGAAATATTGTAAAATGGTCATGTGTGAATGATGACATCGCCTGCAATCCTATATCATCACATCATATTACTGACCATTAGTTCTCTTTATTCCTAACATTCAGCTGGTCAGCGCAAATTACTGTAGTGCCCTGTCGCACTCAACTTGCCATACGTTTTGAATAAATCATTGATTACAAATTACGCCACTGTAAATTCCACAAATATGATTCTCCATCACTGTTTATCTATCCTGTGGTAATGTCACGAATACCATTCAGTATATGTTGGAAATCGCTTTCGAACTTTAAACGTGAATATTTGTGAAGACGTAATGAATATCACAATTCTACCGATAGTAGGTGGTCTATTAATCCTGACCAAACTGTCGGTCTTTGTGAATTTGTTGTACAGGACGGAGCATGCAACACTCAGGGCACAACCCATTAGCTTTGGCGTAAAAACGAAATACCCGTTTCAAAGTATGAATGGTAGCACTAGGTGCTAAGTATCACACAGTTAGTGGATGAACTGATCACACAGCAACTACTCACTTTCCGCACAAATTTCAGATCATTTATGCATTATAGCTGGTAACAGTTTCTGATAAAATAACTTCAACGTTAGTTTCGCACACCAACCACAAATACCTTATCACAGCTACTAACAAAAGGTGGAATTTCTGATAGAGAACAAAAGTTCATCAAAATCATTACCTGATCTACATATCTTTTCCACCATCTCAAACGGGGAATGTTTAGATTTGACCTGAGTTCACAAACTGTTAAAATTAAAATAACACTCCATGTCCATAAATTCGTTTTACAATATAAAGGATAAATAACCTGTGGAAGACAATAAACAATAAGATATGTCATCACTTTGCAATTGAATGATAATCATTAATACTATTGGAAGTTTGACTGAACAAACATCCACATTCTACAATCATCACAGATGTCTAACATTAATAATCACTCCACCACTCAAGCTCACGAGTTGAATCGAGCATGTCAACAATTTGATCTAGGTGAGATAACCCAGAACTAGATCAAACTCTCAATTTCTGCCAGCCGATAGCAGTCACAATCTGGTTCTGAAATCCGTACTCATATTTACGCACTCATGGAGCAGTGCAAACCCCTAATACTTCACGTTGTGACGGTGGAGTTCCAATTTGTTCTAAATGTAGACCGTGACAAGAAGGTAACTGAAAAGAAAAGTGGTGCACGAACAGTGAATCAATTCGCCCTGAAGGCTGAACATCAAGATAATATAAAAGAAGATTCTCGGTTTAGTGGTGGTCGACATAATGGAAAATATGCACATATAAAACTGATAAGTGCAACAAGTGTCCGTGAAGCGATCATATAATAATGACGGGATCGATGTCCAATTTCTCAGTAATCCTTTTGTCATTTCGACCTTGAATTAAGGAATTTTCCAGCCCAATATATACTAATTTCATCTTCAATATTCTCACTGATCACTTTAAATACATGTGGAGTGGTTTTGTCACATATGAGAATGTTTCGTTTATATTACAATTATCACAACGACTTGGCATGGTGCACGGAATCAGGCTAAAATAATACAATGGGTAATGCTCGACGTGCAAAATGTCGTTGCATTTTATTCTTAATGTAAACTGCGAAACCTATGACACTAATTAGCTTGAAATCTTTACTATTTTTAGCGGGAGAGAATTGCATGCTGACACATTGAGAATACGGAGATGCTGATGAATGTTGCACATCCAATTGTTTTATGCCGATAAATTGGTACAGAGATCTTCACATTCATTGCCATTAACTGTACCACGGAAATAGAAACGCATAATGATTAAGAAGTTTACTTGCACTATGAATGGACTGAGCGTACATCACGGTGAGCCTGAATGAATTTAATCTTGGAACATTTGTTTTCTTACATCAACATAAATTCATTTGTATGAGACTCTCACGCCATCATACTTTTTCAACGCCTTTGAGGATATTTCAGCCGAAAACTCAATAGGCGCATACGCAAGTTGACAGGGAATGTGTGGTCAGGATGGAGTGAAATTAAACGGTGTGGTAATGTTTTAATTTCAGGTTCTCAAGTAACACTGATGTGTGATAATGAAAGGGGTGACCAAAAGATGAAAAATAGTTTGATGAATTTATCAAAGATTGAATGACTATTTGTTTGGACTCTATCTCGTTACACGTGATGGTTACTTTTATTGATTTTTTGAATGATGGTCTCATTCACATTGGTTTTGACCTTGGTATAGTCTAGAAAATGTGGCATCGACCAATCGGATAACTCCTATCCTTACACTTGCTAATCACATACGTTTTAATTGTGACTAGAATGACACGTTATCATTGTATTTAAACAGGAATCAGGACGTTAACTGTGTAATTGATTTCAGAAAACTTGGTGAATTACAGAGAGCAAATATGTTTAGATCACAAGTAGCAGTTGTTTGGTTTCTCTTCTTTTTCCTGGTCTGCAATGCGGGTAAGTTTGAAACTTTCTAAATGTGCGTTTCCATCTTTACTTTCATTCATATGACGATGTACTTGACATAAATAATCACTCAGTAATAATGTCGTTAGTCAGTATACGGTGATGAACCGTTTTAAATATTTTGATTGACCAGGAAGTCGCCCGTCATTAGTGTGCGTTGACGAGCACTCTTCATGTCGTGAAAGATGTTTACACTTATTCGATCTCCACATTGAGCATTGGTTCTCCTAAAATCACAATATAATTCACCGTTGAGTATCAATCAGTATGGAATCATATTAAGTTCTGCTTCCTTATGACTAATTTCGAACAGCTCACGGGTAGTATAATAAGTCAAATGCCTTGATAGTCTACAGGCTCCAATAAAGCCTTGCCCAAGTCATTGATTGATAAATAAGAAATCATCGTTCGTGTACTGCAAGCATTTTGAAATTTGCTAACATGACGATATTAGAAAGCAATATTGTCCTGACAAAACTGCATAACATTTACCTGTATCACGTGATACAATGTGACTGCAGCATAAGTTGTAATACTTGCCTGTTTGTAATCCTTATCGAAGAACCATAAAGAAAGTATTCGTTCAACACTGTTCTGACTTACTATCAATATGAACGACTGAAGTTTTCAATAGATCCCCATTGAATGATATAAACAGTGGAAGAATGTCCTGATTGAACGCGTAGTGGAAAACGTGAATTTACTTCATATTTGTCGTCAGTAGAAGTAAAGACAGACTTTAAATCTAAACATTTAGTGAAACTTTGAAGTGAAGCTTTCATACAACCATGGTGCTCGGAAACAGATGGTTTCTGAAAAATGATAACTATGAATAATAAACGACGAAATCCTCTGCGAATTGATTATTTATGATTGTTTCTGTCCGTTATAATGAGTTGTTTCAAATCCTTAGTTCGAATCATGTGCTGACCCTTGCTAGGCTAACAGTGATGACCAGAGAACACGCAAGAAGTGATTCGTATGGAAACTCAAATTAATGAACGACAACTGTTAAACGACAAATTGTACTCGTGAACAGTTCACCAGACTGTGTCGGCACCTAGTTTTTCAGATCCTGTACCACAGCCAGTCTACACTGTTATCGTGTTATGGATTTAGGTTGCGGTCGATTTTTACCCTGTGCTAATTGTTGTGTCCTTGACTGGAAAATTAGAGAGCAGCGTACTTATCGATCGATTACAGTGACACGTAAACACGAACGAACGGCCTACAGTTCTGATTGGTCCTGCTTCCCTGTCCAGCCCAGCCGGTTGAGTCCAGAACACAAGCCACAGCCTCTGAGATATGAATCATTATATTTCAAACATACTTTGTTTATATACCAATCAAGCATACCACATCGTACCATAAAATAGAAAACAACATTTTGTACAATATTCAACAAGTGAACAGACATCGACCAATAGGAAATGTCCATTTAAAGTCCAAGGACACCATTGGACTTAACATGATAATTATTGGTCTATTCCTCTGCATCCACAACATATCGCTACGTGGTTTTCAGTGTAACGTGAACAATCTATGTGTACTTCTTGCACCGATAACAAAACCATGACGAGTTGACGGATGAACCTCCACATAACGCTGTGAACATATTCGAGTGTCATCAGTCTCATTGTAGATGAAGTTGTCAGCAGGAGAAATGAATAAATGGCACTCAATGGAAGCATACTGGACCGCACATCACATGGAATAGGATTCGATGTTTCACAGGTTTCACAGGAAAACAGACGAGACTCTGTGAATTTTGATGATCACTTGAACTCCTACTTCAATGTAAAGGAGTTTGAAGTACAGTAGATCAAATGGATCACCGTAGACGTGTTTAGTCGATTGATCAAGCAAATGTCTATTGATGTGGATATGTGTGTGCTTTCAAATGAAAGACGAGAATTAGTGATTCCAATAAATTTCGCTCACGATGTCATACGAAATCAAACAGCTAATATTATTCTGAATGATTCTTGATAAACATGCACCTAGTTCGTTCGGTGGTTGGAGTTCATTGTCAGTAATAGCTAAAATCGTTGTTCATGCTGATAGCCACTCGTCAGCAAAGTCTGTCGGAAATTTTGAAGGAAGTGTTGCATTACAGTGTGTTGGACCCCATGTAAAATAGCTCCACAATCTGTGATATCAACAGTGAGCTATTCTTCGACAGATGGACTCTTGTCTATAGGCGAATTCCTTGTTGACTGAATACTGTTTAGTGGCTAATCCACTCAATGTTAAATGCCGTTAATACCATTATGTAAACGTGATGCTAGTCACTACTCACTGACCAATCACTTGTTGTGTCTACTCGTCAGTAAACTGATGAAGCGTTTCTCAATTCATGTGAATGTCTCATCTTCATAATTTCCATTGTTTTTTGTTGACGTCACAGGAGATCAAGAAGTGGCAGCTGAGACTCTTGAGTTTTCAAGTGAAGGTAAGTTATTTGAACGGTAATATCATTTGATGTACTGCGTTTACATCACGTTTTGTATAAAATGTTAAACGAAAGTCGTTCATTTTTGTGTATATTGAATGAAATATGCAGTACAATTTGGTTTGATGTTCAGACGCGACACATTTTGATAATTAGGAATATTTGAATTATAGTACGAACTAAGAATCCCAGAAATAACGCAATCGGATCAAGTAGTAGTATATAGGCACGAAGGAATGCACTGTATTTCGAATTCGAAACCAAACATTCAACAGTTACAAAGGAATCATTATTTCATTCAAACACCACACACATATTCTTATCTTACATCCGAACTACAGTGAATATCGTCATGCGCCACGGTTTTCATGGTTTCAGTATGGAAGAAATTGAAGTGACCATCCCAGTTCTGTATGGTTTGATGTATTGTTGATTCTTGCTTTAGCTCATTCACTTAGTAACTCCTAATCAATTATCGTATATTGGATCACTCTGTCTAGACACGTTCGAAATGCTTCATGTACGATTTATGAAAAATCTATCAATCCATTGTGAGCATGGTGGCGGTTGAAAAAACAGTAGTCGAAACTTTCAGTGTCCACTGACCAGTACACACAGTGACACTGAAGAATTATTCTAAATGACGTATGATTCCCTCCACTATAGCCGCGCTGATATTTTGAATGACTTTCGTGTTTGATTTATTTGAACTCCGATTTGTTTTAGATATCTTTGTACAGACACTATCTGTCCGTGTTAAGGAGTGGGATCAAAGAATTGAAAAGGGTTCAGCAGGAGTATCTCTAAGGTTTTTGGATAGATATTGTGCAAACGTAAGTCTAGAAACTCTCACTCGAGTTAGAATGATCACTTTCACAAAAACTTCAACGAAATAATCTGACGGATAGTGTTTTCATGTGATTTCTTAAAGGTTATGGATGTGGTGAAGGAATTGGAACCAAAATTGAGATCTGCCACTCTGTCATGTGATATCGATCACACACAAAGGCCAGAGGATATCCGTGTAGACAATATAAAGGTTGAACTGGCAGTGTTATCGAATGAAATGAAAAAACTATTTTCATCGGAAACGTGGTCCCCATCGTTGAAGAATACACTTGAATCGGGTAATGTGAATGTGAACAGCGCGTGGATAATTGGTGAGTGAATCACCAATGCATAACAATTTTCTAGTTGATATCCACACTTGATCAATATGTACGGTGTTCAGTTGAGATAACATAGCTTGCAGTTTTCATCATTAAGTAGTAAATATACTGTACTCCATTTCAGATATCGTTTCAGTGAGTGGTAAGTTCACAATAAATTCTGTAGTTTTGTGTATTGTAAAATCTGTTGAAGTCAGTGATACTGAGGAATATTGAACACAATAATCTGTCAATGTGGTGTAGGAATTTAGGAAGTGAATGATGTGTAATGATTTGTAAATGTGAGTTGTCGAATGAGTGAAAGAGTCAGTCAGTTGTCATCAACCACAAAATAATATTTATTGTGAATTTTAGATCCAACAGCCGTTGGCCGTGGTAAGTTGTCCTATATATGTGGCTGTTGATTTGAATATGGATTTCCTGTTATATCTTGATGGCCTCAATAGAAGTGTGTGTGAATGTGACAAGATGACATGGGTTGATTGCTTTGTTTAGGACTGTTATTTTAACTGAATGACGGGTACCAGTCGAAAGTAATATCGGAGATGCAATTGTAGTGAAATTATACAGTTTATTGAATGTGTCCGGGAACGTTCGACTCGTTAAGGCCGTTTTAATTGATCGCCATAATTTGCTCAGTTACACGCTCCTGACTTTGAGATGCTTGAAAATATTCGACACACTAACACACTCGCATTAAATTCACACAGCGGAACGAAGTGATTGATAGGAAATATCATTCAACTGATATGCTGTGTATCACTCCGCTGTATTTCAGTGATTTTCTCACCATAGACAAGGTCACGTGTTCTTCGGCACGTTGGTTTCGATCTGTTCAGCTCAACAGTGTCCAGATCGCCAATCGTGTTGAGAATTCGATCATAAACTTTGATAACCATTCCTGCACCAGTTTCACGTCCTCTTCACAACGAACGTCACAATGGTTTGACCGAGTATGAGATCATCAGTGAATTTAAATAATGTCTGAACAATCTCACTGTTTTTATCACAGATTCCTCGGTCAACACGAAAATCGATATGTTGTTCAGCTCACAGTACCCACTGAATAGAGTGATTTGATTAACAAATCGATTTATGAAATATTTTGTTGAGAGTGAATATTCGTTTTACAAACTATAATTAATGAAATGTGTACATTTTAGAATCCTATCTGTTCCAAAAAACCTATCCTACGAGTTCAGTAACTACTGATAAGTGCCCTGAGGTGAGTTTCTATCTGGTCATGCATTATAAAGTTTTCTTGAATCCATTGCGTTTCGTGTCGATCGATCAAGTAGCAGTCGGGTGTTGATTTAAAGAGTTTACAGATTTACGTTGATTGCATTAGTTTTGATATCTTCGTACCGTTAATCCCACAATTTCAACGAGAAGTCCGTCGATATTCGTTTTGATGACATTTGTTGATGAATATATTAATTTCTTGATATTCTGTAGACCTGAATGTCAACCATCAATGTTATGTGGCTTTCGTATCATTTGTTATCTGCTTTCATCAGAATTTATATAAAAACAATTTCATAGAATAATGAGATCAAGTTCCCACAGGGTTCTTATATGACACATACCGATGAGTACACAATACCTAATTGTTTAAAACAGACATTGTTTCAGTAGATTACAGGATAAATATTAATGCCATAAAACACTGTCTCAATATTTTGATTTCAGCTGAAGATCATTATGTCGAATATATATACTGGATTCGGTGAAACAATGACGAACTGCTTCTTCGATGTGTCGACAGGAGATATAAGCACGACGATGGACTACCGAGAACTTATGAAGAAAGGGTATTGCTGTTCAGAGCATAATGTATATAGAAGAATTTACTGGTCTATTTATGAATTACTATACAAGGGTGAAAGCGGTGAGTGATTCTGCAAAACAGGTAAAGAATACAAAGTTATTATCGAAAAATGTTTAGGGCAAGTGTACGCAAGTGTCGCTGAAAAATGTCGCGACAGATGGAAATAATGCAGACGAGAGCAAACACACAACAAACACGCATACAAATGCACTCAGGCATTAGTACACAAGAACATAAGGCGATCAGTGAATGAAATTTCAGACATCAGTTCTAGACTATTTCATTATCCCATTGAACTTACTCTGTCGGTTTGTTTCTTGATGCCTTCCTGTTATTTAGGTGACAATACGATCAAAATAACTCAACCCGAAATAACGATCGACAAGAAAAATACTACTCTCGGTAAGTTTGCTCAACTAACGGTTTCTCTCTCTCTCTCTCTGGTTAGCAAATTAAGGAACTTGAGACATATCAACTTTTATATTTATGTGGTTAGTGAATGACTATTCAGTCATCAGTTTTAGACTGTTTCATTGTCTCACTGAACTTACTCTGTTGATTTGTTTCTCGATGTCCACTTGCCATCCAGTTGGGAATTGCCATTTTTGTATACTCATCGTATTAGTCACAAACAAAGATGCCTAACACTCGACACTCGATAGTGAAACCAGGTCGATTTCAACGAAATTCAATTACACGGTTTAATAAAAGTCAAGCACACGATTGACCAGCACATGCAGTCACTTTCACATGTAGTGTATATTATTATTATTATTATTATTAGAAGCTTTATTCAACATTATATTTTTGGTACAACATAGAATTCTCAGCATAAAATATTTCAACAAGTTTCCTTGTCTTATACCTTGATCGATTGTGACGATAAATTTTGAATGATGACCAGTTAGATGTTAGAAGTTTGGTAATCCACATTTGATTACTGTTCATTTGTTTCAATGCATATTGCCAGCAACCATGATGTCTCTGATTGTACCTTTTTGTATCCCGTATAGCGAAAGGTTGTAAACTTTTCATAAACGCGCCTGAATAGGTTGTGCGCACAATAGACATAGTGATGTGCTAAAACAAACAACAAAACAGATAACTTGATGAAATATCTAGATCGGTGGAACAGGTAGCCCAGATATTCAAGCAGGCCGCCGTATATGACTTGTGCTACACATCGATAGAACATAAAATGATACAGAGCAGTGGTGAAATCCCATTGATCTCACATATTCTTGGTACTGGATATACTTCGACCACAGACACCATCAAGTTCCACACAACGAATTATATTGTCACTCGACAAGAACACGAATCTTCTCTTTTATGTTTACTAGTGGAAAAGTCAACCACAGTTCGTTATACGACCTTCATGACTATAAATACTTGTAGAAGTGCTGCTATTCAGGTGAATTTCTGTTGACCTTGAATCTGTCATTGCCTGTTTCTTCCTCTTGATTTCACCTCCTTTTGATCTGATTATTGATTTTATATTTGTTCATGATCTTTCTGATTGATTAGTTGATAGATCGGACCTAGTTCAATGTGTTTGTTGATCGCTGATTCACCTGAGTGCTAAGCTTCTAAAGATTCTCTGGTGCCAATAGCAATCCATCAATCCAAGATCTCAACATTTTTCTAGTCGAATGTGTGACCATAGTTGTCTAAATTCATTGATATAAGCGAGGATATATCATGGCGTCTGACTGCCAATCGATGTTCGTGTAGGTCAAGATGAAGATAGTATTCACTTTGTTCGATGTATCGGTCATTGCAGCTGGAACAATTCATTTTGCAGATGATGTTCGGTTTTACTTCTTTCACGGTTTCGTCCTTTTGTTTGCATAGAATTGATTGAAGTGACTTTGCTGGGTTGTGTGCAAACCCATTCCAAACGGCTCCGACAACCTCGTTGTGATTTACTGTGTGTATTTCATATGTGTTAGGACGATTCGGTTGTTGGATTCTGTGCTTGATTTTGTTTCTGCCGACGCATTTGATTGCTAGTTTTGTCGCAGTTGACCGGATAGCCGCTCTTTTGATGAGAATATTCTTCAGATATTTTCCTTCATCTGTCGCGCCACAAGTGTGTTGCAGTGCGTCTCCACCCTCTTGAATAAAGTTTGTGCGCAGTTGAATTTGTGAGTTCATGGGTTGTTTCTACTGTAATTGGTCTTGGTCGGCTTACGATTTACTTGAGTTCCCAGTTTCACTGAGTCAGTTCTGTTGATCAGAACATTCATGTATGATCGTTTGTTGTTCGACCCCATTTTCATTATGATATGTTTGCCATCAAATATGTTGTTGATCAGATTATATGTGTTTGACAACTCGTACTTTTCGACGATGACCAACTTGTCGTTCACATAATAAATCCAAAGCTTTGATTTGTTCACTGGCAACATTAAGTTTATGCATCACTGCTAATTATGAGTGTACTTAATCTTACCTAGGAGTTGTATAGGACTTTTGATGAAGTGAATGGATGAAAGCACTGAATGTTTCACTTCACGTCAAGTGTCGCTGAAAGATGTCGCTACAGATGGAAATAATGCAGACGAGTTTAGGCACAAAAGCAAACACGCATACAAATGCACTCAGGCATTAGTACACAAGAACATAAGGCGACCAGTGAATGAAATTTCAGACATCAGTTCTAGACCATTTCATTACTCTGTTGGTTTATTTCTCGATGTCTTCCTGTCATTTAGATGGAAAAACGACCGTAGAGAAAGAAATATCTCAACCTGGAACAACGACTGATAAAAAAGAAACGTCTCTCGGTATGTTTGCACAATTGATGATTTCTATCTCTCCCTGATTAGTAAATCAACGGTCTTGAGACATGTCACTTTTGATCTTCATATGCTGGTGATCATTGTCTCCAGCAACGTTTTTCCACAGCTTTGTTTCACTTTTCTGATTCATTGGCATATGTTTTGTGCTTGTTCGTAACACCTGTTTCTTTATGCTCGATATCATAATGTCGGTTTACATCATGGTGTAAATTACTTCTTGTTGAATTTTTTCATCAAAATTATTTTCAAGGTTTGCCGTCAATTATACGAATCTCTGAATTAGAAAACTTGGAAGTGAACTATACAGGTAACATTAAAAATTGATCATACTGGAACAACTTCTTTGCATTTTATCACGAATATATTCGAGCACATTTTTCTACTTGCGATTTGTCAGTTGTCTGTATCATGATTAAGATTATGTGGATGTAGTGCACACGTGTTGCACATATGCAACAACACTAATGTGATCTCAGCGAAACTATCAACAACGGGATTATTCTTCTGAATGATCTCATTTGCACAAATCCGAGGTGTTAGCGAACCTGACATTATCTGTCTCCTTATTTCGATTGTATCTCGCTTCGACCTAACTCTTGGTTCTATTTTCGCAGATGAATATTTCGATTGATTGAAAGTCTGTAATGATTTCGATGTGTTTGTTAATTGCTGATTTAGTTAGGTGTCAAGTTAAGGAGAGATCCTATGGTGTACGTAGTATCCTTTCTATCAAGGATTTCAATATCTTTCCAGTCAAACGAGTATTCACAAATGTTCTTATGCAATGATCCAAACGAAGATTTATCATAACGTTTTACTGTTAATTGATGTTCATGAGGACAAACATCAAGGAGGCATCAACGTTGTTCTATATTGAGATTTTCGTCATTAGAACGGTCTATTTAGTAAATGACTTTTGGTTGTTTGCTACAGTCGTTTCGTACTGTGGTTTGCCAACGATTGCTAATAGTGTAATTGCTGGCACTTCAACTACATCTGTCAGCTGTCATACGACGCAGTCGTTAATCCTTATTTCTACCGACCTGTTTGCCATGTTATTTGGGTATGCTTACATAAATGCTGAAGTATGTGATGATAATGTTGCTTGTGGAAACAATGGGAAAAGGGTGATCGATCAAATCGACCAGTCAAATCAACTCCTGTAAGCCCCTTCAACGAGATGCAAACCACCTACTCCACCTCCAACTTTCTTTTTCCTAAAGTGATAATTTAATTGTACTGCGTATTTGTTTTAGTAGGAACAGGCAAACATAATGATAGCCGTCTATTTTAACTTTGTTTGAAGTTTATTTATATCAATTTATCACTTCAATTTTTCTAACCACAATTCATTTGCAGTTCTCACTGATGAATATTACTTAATTGTCTTTCAAAATATAGGTCACTGTATCTATGCTTCGTTTCCATCTGGTAAGTTGTGAAATATGTCGCTCAATGCATAAACGTTACCATGGAATTCACATGTTGTACAATGATCACATGGGACTGATGACATTGCCCGTAATCATTTACCGTCATGTAACATTACTCACCATTACTCCTGATTATTCTTGACTTTCAGTTTGTTATGGCAAATTATTGTGGTGCCCTATTGCACTGGAATTGTCTACCTTATAAGTAGATCACTCATTACAACTTATATTACTGTGGATTCCACAAATATGATTCTCGGTGATTGTTTATCTAGATTGCGTAAATGTTAAGGATACCTGTCAGTATCTGTTGAAAATCGCTTTTCAATTTCAAAGTGGATGCAAGTGAATACGTAATGGATATCGTATTCTTCCTTTCCTCCCTTGATACTAGTAGCCTGATCAAACCGTGAGTCTCTGTGAAAGTATTGTGAGTGAGAAAAACAATCGAAACACAGAACACGACCTATTAGATTTGTATGAAACCGGAACAGCATAAACATAGCAAGCAGTAGAAATACCTTATCCATGTGATAATGTCTACATCGTGGAACCAGACCACCAACCACAAATACTTCAGCATAACTTGTAGAAATACAAGAAACCTTCGAATCGGAGTCAGGTTCACTCTCAAGTCGAGGTATACAGACTCTCTTAATTCACAACGACAAGACCATGTGGCGTCGGTTTTCAATATACAGATGGGATAACCTGTTTAGGACGTCAATGAAATAACTTTTCAAACAAAATCTGTTAACAATTTGCAATATTGGTGATTTACTCTCAATAAACCATCCACTTACTGTTGATATTCTCTGAATCACCAAAAACAGACTGACAGTTTGTTATGCCCTTTTCAAGCTGGTCTCACCAACTCACTTTCACATCAAGTGCTGTCAAATCAAGTCGACAATATTGAGACTGTAAACAAAAGTGCTGTATACAGACGTCTGTTATCAATGTAATTCGAATATGTGACGACCGTTACAGGGTCTAACGCATTTCCATTCCTTAAGGTCACGACTTATATTCATGAAACGCGAATCAATTTGTTGGCTAACGAAATCACGATTTCAACAGCCGATAGACTCATGCAAATATTTATCGGTTGAGGTGGCCTCATCAAACAACAATACGGCAATAGGGAGTATGCATGTCAACAAAATTGTTACGGTTGTAGTTTCATTTCATGATTTTCACTGTTCACTTGATTTACAAATTAACAGATCAGTCAAATGAAGAGTGACAAGTGAGTAGTGAATCGTTGTGTTACAGTTGGATCTTAACAAATATCTGTGTTTTTAAATTTATCAGTAGTTTCAAGTTTCGTTGAAAAGTGATGGTAGATAGACAGTTCATTTAAACATGACCATGTAGCATGGTAGTTACTGTTCATAAAATGCTTTCAATTTCGAGTCACAGACTGTGGTTGTTGGATGAATATGGTTCGATCAAAATGTTTTGTAACCATTTGTGAAAATGTTTTCAATTTGGATGTGATCAACATTCAATTGTCAACATCAATGTTACCCGTGCAAATCGGTAATTGTTCCAGAATCGCTGTATACATGTGCCCTCAATATGTGCATATTCATTCAGACGATCATAGTGAAGCAGAATATTTGTTGTAGTGTTGCACAAATTGTGATAAGACACAATTGTTGTCCACCGATCAAACACAATTGACAAATTAACGTTGAACTAACCGTCATCTAATCCCTCGACTACAATACTCATTACCATTGATTAAATTTACACCCTCCTTTTTGTTATATCATTACACATTGCAGGCTCGGTTATCAGTCTCATTCAAAAGCATATTACTACCAAGAATCATCAAAGCTTTCATACACTTTTCTTTCAGATGACCCAATCAAATCAAATTAAATAAACACTGTTTTAGTCTGTAGTAAACTTAACAATATTCTTGAATCACATTCTGTAATTTTAACACACAATACATGGAATATGGTAATTAAATTGTTGACTCTTATTATCTACATTACTTTTGAAAAGAAAACGCTGAGTATTTGTTTGCAGTGAATAATATGCATAATCACTATAACATTGTAGCAAGCGTACGTGAGTAGACAAACACGAATTGGCTTTTAGGATGTCTTGTTTGTGAGAATGATTTACTTCAAAGATATTCCACGTAAAACGACTGAGTTTCGTAAGCTTGTTCACCGAAAATCATTAAGTCGGATGTATTCAGTGGTGGTTCACATGTGCAACGAATTGAGGAAGGTTAGTTAAAATTAGCCGATGGCACATCATCCAATAGGTGAACAACATGAATTTCCTACACTTATTCATTCATGTCATGTGTGTTTTAGGAAATATCCTCGGTTAAAACTCATCAAATACCAGTTTGTAATTTCTCAAATTGTGCTTCTCAAATACAGAATCTTTCTCAATTAGCGCAAAATGCTTTGTAGGTGATTGTTGGCCTGACTTTGCTCGTCATTATTTCCTTCGATTCGGATTACATTGTTTGCAATGCTTCTTAATAACCATGCCTGTTCACAAGCGATCATTCGTCTGTCCGTGATCTCGACGACCTTCCCCATTCATGGCGAAGCTATCCGTTAACTGATTTGTGCGGACTATTCTGTATCTGATAGTCGATACAGTGAATAATCCCTAATGAATTATAGTGAATGACTGATTCCTCAAAATACACATGCTAAGTCGTGGTCATGCTCGCTTCGGTTCTCTCTATTTATTCTCTATCCATGCATTGTAGGTTTTCCGTATTTTCTTATGCTACTTGGTGATATTTGGCATCCGATACAGTTGGAATGATTACGGTACGTATGATGTGACGTATGTTGGTTTGTTGGATAAAGTTTTGGTGTGTTCACATCAACTAGAAACATTTAAAAAATGGCTATCAAGTCTGCTTTCCTCAAAGCTTGTAACAGTCGTCTCCAGGATTCCTGCATTTTCCGGATCTCTGTTCAAACTTGAAAGTTTCCATTTTTGAGCTCTCTGAGTCTGCGTTTGGATTGATACTGTTGCATAAGAAACTCCCCAACATATAACATCTTATTAGGAAATTATTAAATAATTGATAGTTAAAAGCCTTACTTCAATACGGTCGATCGCAGTAACATTAATGCTTATTAGGTGAAGAGTAATTACGTAACTCCTAGTCGGATTTTCTATTTAGGCGATTCCAACCATCCAGTAGACCTACAAATTACGTTTAAAGTCAGCCTCTACCAACGTACTGAAATCTCAACATAACTGAGTCAACATTACTTTCGAACGTAAAGTCAGAATCTGACACGCAAATGAGACGAAAATAGAACTGTTTCCTAAGACAAACGATAGGCCTAATCGCATGTTATTGTGCAGAAACAACATTGCCTAGTGTACAGTTTTCGATTGTGAGAGCGTGATAATCTGACACTTAGCAAATTTTTTAATCTAATGATATTTATCTGTCGCTGGCTCGATCATTCATCAGGTAACCATGGATATATGGAATTCATAAAGTTGGAAGAGCATTATGGGAGTTTGTGTTCTCTTTACAGTATGTGTTTTGATGAACCTTTCAGCTGGATATAACACAGACAGGTAAATTTTAAAACACCTGCCTGGACAATCACGTGTTATTGCTCGAAAAGTGATGGAAATTTTAGTTTATGATGCGAACAATGAATAAAGTGATGCTGAATGGACGTTTCCAAGCTCACAACATATTTTTGTGCCTCAAAGTAATATTTTTGATGAAATCGTCTATGCCTTAGAACAACAAATTTCCAAATGCTGGTTTAGAACAAAACAGAGTTCTCCGTTCACGAAGTGGAATCGGGTTGTAGTGTGGCGTCGAATCGCGGTTGACTGTGATCACCACTACAGGAAGACTACGTGCCAGTTAACCGATAAGATCCCTCGTAGGCCAAATATGAGAAGGCAGTTGGTGGCTGTAGTCGAGATGTGTTTGTTGGCGATCTCGTGGTATCGAAAGAATACCGAGATCGTTTCAGGTTATAAGTGGGATTACTGAGCATAACCGACTTCATGCAAGGTCACAAACAACGGAAGAATGTATGTATTTTGGTACAGTTAAACAAACGAGTACGGTGAAACAATCCTTGGTAAAATTGGTTATAATAATAATTGTTACCATTACACCAATCGCGTTCTCTTGATAAAAGTAGGTCACCACAGGGTAGTTCTGCTTCAAAACGTTTTACGGCCTTTAGGAAAAGGAGTTTTGCATTGTGAGAGAAGTATGTGTGCTTAAACGCGAATCGAAACACAATCACTACTCGTAGTTCTGTTTTTAAACTGAGTTGGGAATGGTTGTCGAGGTTAGTTCACGCACGTGAGAAAAGCTTGACTCTTATGCGTTAAGCTGATCAGGATAGACGTTACGTATATTCGACTGATATGAGATAATCTCACCGAATGATTGGTAGTAACGGTCAAAGAGAGGTTCATAATATTTCTAGAATCATCGAAATATGAGGCTATTTAAAGTGCATCATCTGAGAAGGCATCAGGAGTCAAACTTATCACCTATCATGCTAGGTCTTGAATTCTCAACAGAGATTCAAGTATCATCAATAGACAGAAAACAACGTGATTAGCAGAGCAACGTGATATATTAGCGCGATGCATTCCAAATATTTGATCACACAAAAATCTGTTAAGAACATTACTATATAATAATAAAGAGTAAATTAGATAACGCTAGACAATCAAATTACAAAAAAAACAACGGAATAATTTTAATAAGAAACAGTGTGTACAAGGAAAAAACAAACAAAGAAGTTCAAATACTACAGCGTATTAAAAATCAACCACGTAGAATATGCTTAAGACGTAAAAACAAAACAGAAATGAATTCAGACGCCGTGTAAGACAGATATCAGCCCAAGAATAATGAACAAAACGTTGCACAAAATCACGGATTAATTGAAGTTGGACGTATACGACTTACGATGCATGGTCATTGGTTTAGAAATTGATCGATCGCAAGCAAGTTCGAGATTGCTGAATACCAGTGCTATGTGCACGTTCGTGCATTCATACCACTCACAATAATGTGCATATACAAATGTTAGATTTAAGTTAATTAAGGTCAATTATTTTCAGTCTCTTCCATTAGAATGTTTTCGTTAATTAACTGTAAACCATTATCAAGTTATCAATTGTCTACTGATATTCTTCCAATTGACCAATGAAAGCAACCGACATGACGAAACTAGGAACAAATGATTTATTTCTTTGAATAATCAGTATCGAATATGGATGTCTTCTACTCAAATTCATCACGTTCTTCAGGTACATTGTTTTAAACACTGTTGATTGAAAGTAATGTGTTTATTTGTGATATAAAGTTCTGTTTGAATGATTAGTTTAAGTTGAAATAAAAACGGATTCCAACTTGATCTCGTCAACTAATTACAAACAACCATTAGCTAAGTAAACAGTCTGTAACTTGTTAGAGACATTTTAATAAAAGCTGTATCTCCATAGAGAAATCAGTGTTGTAATACTAAAAAAACTCACTTGTTGAGGCTTTCAAGGTAGACGATATAGAATGCTTTCGCTGTGTATTCTATGACCAATAATTGAAGGGATCGAAATCTAAATAAGTAATGTAACTGTTTGTGATCGGACAAATATTAAGCGAATATAATGAGTTACAGATAGTAACTCCAATTTAAGCTGTGTTGGATGTGGTGTTTGTATGAACTAACGAATCCTTTGTAGTTGAGGACTGTTTGATTTCGTATTCCAAATACAATATGTTCGTTAGTGCTCATCTAATACTTCTTGCTTACATTGCGTTATTTCTAAGATTCTTGGTTTGCACTATAATTCAAATACTCGTAATTATCGAAACTGGCATCGCGATGGAGTCTGTGATGGAACAGTTGGACATTCATTCAACTTATGAAACTTTTGAGGATTATTTTTAAAATTTTGGAATCTGGAGAATGATCAAGAAAAACGTTAAGGGTGATAAAATTTTGCCACATTTCATTACATTTTATCGGAAAAGAAGCCTACAGTTTATTAAGAACGTTGACATATTCAGAAAACCCTGTCTCACTTCATCATACAACGCTTAAGGAACTATTATTAAATCATGTAAAGTGTACCAGTTTTGAATGTCGTGAGGGAACAAAATGAGCAAAAAGGTATTAGATCCATCCTTGAATTGAAAAGACAAGCTGCCAAGTGTAATTTTGGTGATCAACTTCATGTGCATCTGAAGGATCGACTAATTGTAGGAATTAACATACCGGGTATGTAAAGAGAGCTGGTAAGAATGCCGAACTGTTCCATTCAAGACGCTAGAACTGCATGTACTAACTACAAAGCAGTGAATGAACTTGATATCCAGTCGATGAATATTTCAAATACTTTACTCATTCGTCATGATGAAACACAATCTCAGGGTCGGACAAACCTGCGTTCGTTTAATAGTGATTCCAATTTTCGTGAAAATATGAAAGGTGATTCAACAAGTAATCGCAAAGCAAGTTTGGTAAATGTTTATCCTGTGGCAAATTTCATCCTCGTAATTCATGTGCATTTCGTAATGCAAAATGTTTTAAATGTGGTAAGATAGGATACATTCAGTCGTATACACAACTACTGTTCATTTTGCTTCAAGTAGTACTAAATCTTGTAATTCAGATCCCAACAGTTCGGCTGTTCCTAACGATCATTTATCTTTATCCACCATTTCGAACAGTAATCCTCATATTCAAAAGTGATTATATGCATCCCTCGGTTCATTTCATCCACTGAATTCACAATATTGGGGATTACTGGACACAGACTGCTCATACGATGATGCTGTGAATTGCTAATATAAGTTGATAATTCTTCATACCTGCCTTCTGAATGTTTAGTTAGCGGAACAGGACTGTCAATACTGGGTTTAAAAAATAGAAACGGCTTAAAGTGGAGTTGTTTTTACT